GCAAAGGGATAAAATTTTGTCTAAGCTATTTACAGAATAACTTAAAAGTATCTTTTGAAAAAAAATGGGCTGGAGATACACATAAATGAAGAATACTTTAATCATTTATGACATGCTCACAATATTTAACTAACATTAGAAACAGATTTTTGCAAAGAAAGTGCTCAATATCAAAAAAGAACATTGATAGTAAAGATAAGGAAAAGTTCAAAAGACCAACTTCGAGTTTTGTAGACATTCTGCTTTTGAGGGTTCCATAAATGGATCTGTGAAGTTAAGAGATATCGCAAAAGTAATTAAACTATGAAAATTGTACATAGATAAAAAGCTACTTTATCCATAAAGATTTAAGTACAGATCTACCATTGTTTTATCTTTGTATAATTTTCACTCACAGATTATATGCATTCACAAATTAGAAAGTTGTTGTCCTTTGAGCCATTTTTTCTTCTATTCTGAATGAAAAAGAATGCCAGGAAGCAAAGATGGAAGGAATCTCAGAACAATGCTGAATTATGAGATGTGAGAATATTTTAAACTTCATCCACCATATTTGCTTGTGCAAAAAAAAGAAATAAGAAACAGAATATAAGAACAAAATATATTCAAAAAACCTTATAAAAAAGAAAAACAGTTAAAAATTTTGAAAGCCGATGTTTCTATACATTTTATTAAAACATTTTGCAGAGATATAATATATATATATATATATATATATATATATATATATATATATATATATATATATTATTTAAATCTTCTTTTTTCTGTGTCTGGAGATGTCTTGGACTTGACATTTTCTCAAGACTATATGAAAATTGAACTTTTCACTACTGAATGACATTTTCCTTTTCAATTTTGGTCCATTGTTTGAAATTATGAAAACCAATCATAAAACATACATATAATATGCATAATGCTAAAAATGTTATGCTTATATTAAAAGCCATACCAGTGTATATACACACACACACACACACACACACACATATATATATATATATATATATATATATATATATATATATTATATTTAAAAAACAGACCACTTTAAGGTACCATTACAATAATTTATTTCACTTTTTTCCTTTTCAAGGGACTCCAGATCATCAGGTAACAATTCCAACAATGAAATTCATTTCATTGTTGGAATTTTTCTGATTTCTATGCATAGTTATTTAAATGCATTTTAGAGTCCCATGAAAATAAGTGGATACAACGTCTAAAAACACAATACCCAAATGGGCTAAATCATAAATTTAACAACATATAATAGTAACAATCAACAAATCAAAACCTACCCACATTTCTCACCCACACAAGACAGACATGCTTACGGAGGAATGGAGGCCTCACATTTATACACTCACCCACACGATTATACACACGTACACACACCATACTCCTCACTCCCTAATGAGCCAAATGATAACACACACCTACAACAATACACATTTTTACACATATCATACTCATCCTCCCTAGGAACCAAATAACACACACACAAACACTAAACAGAGACACATCCCTCACCAGGTCCAATAAAACTGTCAAACTGACCAGAGAATTCAGGATAAAATGTATCTATCCAGTTCTTATCTCAAATAACAACAAAAGAGACTGTTTGACCAACACAAGGAATTTAAAAGA